CTCCACCGCCCTATGCTCAACAGTCCTGTAGAGTGACGGGAAAAGTTGGACACCGCATCAGACCTACGGAAGGCTAAGGGTGGACGCGCTCCGCGGCAAGTCCCGCGGCGGTCGCGGAGTTCTCACCGTAAGAACCCACTGAGCCCAGAGTCTGAGGGCGTCAGACAATTTGGTCCCCAACTGTCGACCCACTGGTGCGTCCGTACACACACACACACACACGCGCGCACACACACACACACACACACGCACACACACACTGCCTCGCTGCCCAGCGGCGGCGTCAGAAGGGCTCGCCGATCGCCCCCGCCGACAAGTGCATCTGCGGGGTGGGTCTCGCCGCCGCTACCGGCCCCCTCACCTGGTCAGGGGGCGTCTCGGGTCTCCGCCGCGCACGGAGTCTGGGACGCAGCCGAAGGGCGCTGGGCTGGCACGTACCTCCCACTCGGCGCCCCGCGGGTCGCTCTTTGTGTCCGGAGGCCCCGGAACCGCGCTCCTCCCAGGCTCCAAGCGCCGCCCCTTGGTTCTCCCAACTCGGCGCGGAGGGCTACAGATCCCTTCTCCCCTCCGTAGGCGGTGACCGACCGTAGGGGCAGGGACTGGGGAGCGGGGCGGGGCTGATGGGGCAGAAATGGGTGTGGAGGGAGGGGCGGGGGGCGGAGCTCCAAGTCTCTTGTCTGGAAAGTTCAGGTGTTTAGGCCTGAATCCAGAGTGACGTCTCCTATACCCATAAAAGACTTGTCCTCTGCGTGGGATCTGGTTTTGCACAGCTAGTGATGTAGCATTCTCTTCTGTAAACAACCTGAGGAGGCACGCCGTGCAATAGTAATATTCTAAATTCACAGCTGGGAACACGGAAAGACTTAAAAATTTTGATTACATTGATTGCATTATATATTCAATCATCAATAATCATTGAACATTTGCTAGTACCAGGCATTGTCTTAGGAGCTGAGAATATAATAATGACAAAGGAAAAGGGGAGGAGGAGGAACGGAATCCCTGCCCCATTGTGGAGTTTACGCCCCATAAAATAATTTAAAAACTTAAATGAAATACAAAAAATAATAGATATTTATAAATACTAGGGAAGGCAACGTAAGAAAAGGGGTTAAGAAATATAGGAGATGAGCCAGAAAGGGATGGTGAATTTTTAACACAAAAAGTGAAGAAAGGAGACACATCTCTTAAGGACCAAGTGAGGGAGTACAGCTGGCAGAGGCTCTGAAACTGTGGGGTGCTTTTCATCGTGCCTGGGAACAGAGAATGTGGAGGAGTGTGTGTGTGAGATCAGAAAGGAATGAGACACAAAGGGATGTAAGGTCTTGGTACCCTTTTAAGGACATGGCTCCGCTCTAAGTGTCTAACAGAGGGAACTTGTGGCCTGACTTAAAATCATTCTGCCACTGGATGAGAGTGTGGGGGATGAGCAGGAAAAGGTAGGAGAACAGAAACCATTAAGAAGTAACTGCAATAATTAGTTTGAGAAGCAGACCAGGGTGTAGATGGTGAAAATTCAAATTTAATATGAGTAATGTTTAGGCATTCCAAAAAAATAAAAAAATAAAAAACAAGGCCTACCTCCAAATTGGATGTGGGTTGTGGGAAAGAGGGAGAGAAAAATATGTCTCCAAGGTTTTGGCCTGAGCAACCACAGCTGCTGATTTTGTGCTGGGCTATTTCTACATATGTCCTCATTTCTTTTTTTTGGGGTACAGGCCAGAGACGCATGTGAGGTGAGAGGATTCACCAGAGACAGAGTGGGGCACAAAACAGGCTGACTGATGAAGTACACTGCTGAGGGGAGCAGCAGGCGGGTCAGGAGAGGTCTGCTACACCATGTGGGTCACCTCTGGAGTGGGGATCGAACTCATGCTGTGCTTTAGCTTCTTAGTGCAGTGCTTTAACTTGCTGCACCACCAGGGAGGGACCATATGTCCTCTTTTTAACCCTCACAATGATCCCAGGGCATACTTGCATCATCATCACTTATTTAGCTGAGGAAGAAAATGAAGTTCATGCAGTTAGATAGCATGCTGGGGTCCTTACCATTTTTTTTTTTAAAGATTTATTTATTTGTGCATATAGAACTGGGGTACAGTCCAGAGGCTCAGGGGTGGTGAGAGGCTTCACCAGAGACAGAGCGGGGAGCGGAACAGGCAGATCAATGAAGTACACTGCTGAGGGGAGCAGCGGGTGGGTCAGGAGAGGTCTGCCTCGCCATGTGGACTCCTCAGGGGCAGGCGGGAATCGAACTCATGAGGAAGTGGCTTAAGCTTCGTAGTGCAGTGCTTTAACCCGCTGCGCCACCAGGGAGGGCCCTAGATTTCTTTTTTTTAATGCATCCAGAACTGGGGTACAGGCCAGAGGTGCAGGGGCAATGAGAGGATTCACCAGAGACAGAGTTTGGGAGTAGAACAGGCTGACTGATGAAGTACACTGCTGAGGGGAGCAGTGGGCGGGTCAGGAGAGGTCTGCCACACCATGGTGGATCACCTCCTGGGGCAAGCGGGGATAGAAATCATGCTGAAGTGGCTTTAACTTCTTAGTGCTGTGCTTTAACCCCCTGTGCCACCAGGAAGGGCCCTCTGCCCACCCCACCCTCAAACCCCCAGTTAGATTTCTTTAACAAGCATTTTATTTGAGAGTTGAAGGCTGGGTATTCTGCAATCTCTCTCTCTTATGTGTGTTTATATATGTGTGTGTAAACACGTGTACATATACATGTATGTATAAAATTGTGTGTAAAGTTATAATGTGTGTTTACATATATATATATATATATATATACACCCCCATGTGCAGTAAGAAGTACTCTGGTAGCCAGAAGGCATGGCTAGATGAATAGATGAAGCCGGGCAGTCGAGAAGTGAACTGAGTTAAATTACATATGATCTATGCTCACATAGGAGGTTTGAGGTTTATTTCTCTACTGTTTCCCTTGACTCAGAAATGAGTGATTCTATCTCCATGCAGAAAAGAAGAATTTAAATCTACCTAAATTCAGCAATTTTCACTTCACACATTTCACACTTTTCTCCCCTGTAGACATCTCCAATCTCTCAGAAAAAAAGATAAATGGGAAAGTTGAAGACAATCACTTGTGTTGAGCCTGTCCATTTTGGAGCTAACTCCTAGTATATTTGCCAAGATACAGGGTCTTCATTTTGAGTGACAAAGTACCAAGTAAACGTGATACCCAAAAGAGTAAAAAAATGAGTAACTGTGTCAATTTGCAGTCTTGATTGAACATATTACATAAGAATATTGTCTTCTTTTATTTAATATCCATTAAAATCAGTTTCCCTCAGTGGTGTAAAGCAAGCTTTTCATTATGCCCCTGCTTGTCTGTTGTTGTCCTGGGCCAACAGCATAGCGGAGCCCCCTCCCTCAAATGTGGCAACCATTACCCCCACTTTCCAGACATGAGAAATGTTCTGCATTCTTAGAACTCAAGACACCAGCAATAAACTCAACTGAAAACAAAAGCAGGAAGCTGCACTGCTGGTGGGAATGCAAACTAGTATACAACCACTATGGAAAACTGGAGGTTTCTCAAACTGTTAAAAATGGAGCATCCATATGACCCAACAATCTTACTCCTAGGTATCTACACCAAAGACAAAAACACTGATTCAAAGACACCTGCACCCCCTTGTTTATTGCTGCTTTATTTATAATAGGAAAGACATGGAATCAACCCAAATGCCCAAAAGTAGATGACAGATTAAAAAGATGTGGTACAAATACACAATGGAATATTACTCAGCAGATAAACTCATACCTTTTGCAGCAACATGGATGGAGCTGGAAGGGATCATGCTTAGTGAAATAAGCCAGAAAGAAAAAGAAAAATACAAGATGGTTTCATTCATAGCAGGAGTATAAAGGACCAGGGGAAGGGGGAAATAATAATAATGAACAACTTTATACCAGAGATATTTAATGGAGGGTAGAGTGGGGAATGGAGGGGGAAGTGTACGGGATTATAGTGATGGCACATGGGTGATTTGGTGATGGGTTGCGGCACACTCTGCCAACAGAAAGACGCCACGATATATCTTCTTCTGGACCCTTTATTCTTCTCTCTCTCTCTCTCTCTCTTTTGCTTCTCTCACTCGCTCTAGCCTGCCTCCTCTCTGCTGCCCCCCCCCCCAGAGTCCATTATGGCAGTTGCTTAAATAGCATTCATTGACCAATCAGAACACTGCTCACATGTACATTGGCCAATCAGAGTACTGCTCACGTGTACATTGGCCAATTAGAGCACTGCTCACGTGTACAACAACCATATTTGGATATTTGGGCAGGACACATAACGAGCATACATTGATCACGGGGAAGCATATCCAATAAGATTTAACTTCCTTATACAGGCGGGTGTTGGCGTATTTTGTTTTTCACTGGCTAAAGGCCAGGCACCATTTTGGCTGCTGAATCATGGGGCTGGGGTCATGGTCTTTGGTGATGGTGACTCGAGGTGGAGTCCAGATGTGCAGGTGCTCCTGCAGGGTCCTTCACAGGAAGCCCAGGCCACCTCTCCAACTTTACTCAGCATTTGCCTCAAGAACTCCTGGGTCCAGCAAAGCAGTGTTTTACTTGCCTCTGAAATGGCTGTGGCACACTGTGTCTTTGACACTCATGCCTCTTCTCCATCTATTTGTGCCCTTCTATTGTTCAGTGACTCAACCCTGATCACTTCTGAGAAGATGCCGCAGCATCTGCTGTGCCACCATGGGGTCAGTAGTCCTATTCTGTGCTGCTCTGTCACTGAGGTCCTGTGTCACCACCTGAAGTGCTTCTGGTAGCTCCTTCCTTGAGTCTCAAGCAGATTGTAAATCCCCATCAGACTTGATTTTCACATGCTTCCACAACACCTAGTAGAAGGTTTGGTGAGGGGTCCTTATTTTTTATGAAGTTTAGTATTGACTTTGTTTCTGGGAAGGTTTCAATTAATGAAGACTGGAAAAACGTAATTTTTCTTTGTAATCTATACATTTAAAATTTCCCAAATAGCTTATCATGAAATTGCCAACTATAAATTCCAATGTCATACAGGAAGCTGAGACATGCTGGAAAATTCTGAGATGATAGTTCTTTGAGAAATGGTGCCAAAAATACTGCATTTTCATTATGCTGTTTATCATGTTCATTTTCCAAATCAGTTTAATTTAAAAAAATAGATAAATTCACAGGAAACTTTATCCTTCAAAGGAAAGATTTGCCTTATTCAAGTTTCTTAGAACTTTCCTGGGGATTCATGACTCAGTGCTAACCTGGGAACATTTGGGCAATAGATTCATTTGTGGAAGTTGTTTCATTACCCTCTGGTAGCCATGATAGCCCACATCTACCCAGTTTAATTTAATCTGAATGTAACTAACCCTTTCAATAAATTTTCCCTTCTTTTTCTTTTAATAAGCATTTGTAGTTCAGAGAGTTGTCATGTAATTCTCACCCAGTTTCCATCATTATTAGGAAACAGTACAAAAGACAGTATAGTGATAAGAATCAAGAAATTAACTATGATTCTA